GCTGGATGGCCATCTGTCAGGGGTGCTTTGAATGCAATATTCCTGCTTCTTGGCAGGGGCTTGGACTGGATGGCCCATGAGGTCTCTTCCAATTCTATGATTCTATGATTGGACTGAAGTTTCATTGTGGTGACCCTTCTCTCCAGCTTGTCAATATCCCTCTTGATTTGTTTTGTCCAGAATTGGATATGGGGTAATTCCAGGTAAAGAGGTCTCACCAAAGCAGAAGACCCCCTTGATCTGGACCAGGGGTCCCCAAGCTTCTTAAGCTGAGGGCTTTGCGATTGGTATTGAAGCGTGAAGCTTATAAGAAACAGCTTTTGTTTCAGGTGGCTATCCACCCAAGTCTATATTTCTATTTATACTAGCGGTCCCCTGCCACGCATTGCTGTGGCCCAGTCTGGTGATATGGAAAATAATTAGAAAGTGCTGCTTTCTAATATATGCAATGTCTTTATGCTTGTGGTTAAACAGTATTTCTTGATGTTTCTTTGACAGTGTTGACGTAGAGATTGTCTGGTTTGCCTACTCTGGAACATGCAACATATAATTGTCCATCTTTAGGAGTCCCTTTCAAATCTATAATACTTTATCTGTGTGTGTGTGAATCATATATATCTATCTATATCTATGGCTGGATGGCTCTTTGTCAGGAGGGCTTTGATTATGTTTTCTTGCCCTGGTGAAGGGAGTTGGGACTGGATGGCCTTAAGTATTTTCTGTTGGTCATGGGGGTTCTGTGTGGGAAGTTTGCCCCAGTTATGTCATTCGTGGGGTTCATTCAGAATAGTCTTTGATTATAGGTGAACCATAAATCCCAGTAACTACAACTCCCAAATGCCAAGATCTATTTCCCCCAAATTCCATCTATGTTCATATTTGGTCATATGGAATATTCATGCCAAGTTTGGTCCAGATCCATCATTGTTTGAGTCCACAGTGCTCTCTGGATGTAGGTGAACTACAACTCCCAAACTCAAGGTCAATGCCCACCAAATGCTGCTAGTATTTTCTGTTGGTCATGGGAGGCCTGTGTGCCAAGTTTGGTTCAGAATGCTCTTTGATTGTAGGTGAACTATAAATCCCAGCAACTATAACTCCCAAATGACAAAATCAATCTCTGGGTTCTCCAGTGTGTCTCTGGTCATTTTATAAAGTAGTGATTGAGGTGGCATCATGAGACTGTTAGTTTTGGTGAGATTTCTTCAGAATTAGAATAGAACAGACTTGGAGATTACCGTATATACTTGAGTATAAGCCGGGGTTTTCAGCCATTTTTAAGACTGAAAAAGTCCCCCTCGGCTTATGCTCGAGTCAAGATTATTTATTATTTTACTCTGTTGTTATTTTATTATTATTATTACGTTTATTATTTTATTCTATTTATTATTAATACTACATTTACATAATTTAGAAGAGCAAAACTGATACGATTGTCCCAATTTTGGGTATTGTTAATTTAGGCCATCTCTGAATTATTTTTTAGAAATCGGAGTGAATTGAGAATGAAGGAGGCTCATTGTTAAGAGAGCCCCTGGTTTGTTTTTTGGTGGTTTTGTTTGTTTGTTTTGTCGTCAGGAGCGACCTGAGAAACTGCAAGTCGCTTCTGGTGTGAGAGAATTGGCCATCTGCAAGGACGTTGCCCAGGGGACGCCTGGATGATTTGATGTTTTATCATCCTTGTGGGAGGCTTCTCTCAGGTGTGAGAGAATTGGCCGTCTGCAAGGAGTTGCCCAGGGGACACCTGGATGTTTGATATTTTACCATCCTTGTGGGAGGCTTCGCTTGTCCCTGCATGAGGAGCTGGAGCTGATAGAGGGAGCTCATCCACCTCTCCCCGGATTCGAACCTACGACCTGTCGGTCTTGAGTCCTGCTGGCACTGTGCCACCGGGTGGTAAAATGGGTTAAACACTTGTGCCGGCAGGACTGAAGACCAATAGGTCAGAGATTCGAATCTGGGGAGAGTGCAGATGAGCTCCCTCTGTTAGCTCTAGCTCCCCATGCAGAAACATGAGAGAAGCCTCCCACAAGGATGGTAAAATCTCAAAACATCAGGGTATCCCCTGGGCAACATACTTGCAGACGGCCAATTCTCTCACACCAGAAGCAACTTGCAGTCCGTTTGTTTCTAGTTTGGATAATCTAGATTGGATTACTGTAATGCGCTCTACATGGGGCTGCCCTTGAAAACGGCTCGGAAATTTCAACTGGTCCAATGGGCGGCGGCCAGGATGTTAACTGGTGCTCCTTACAGAGAGAGGTCAACCCTCCTGTTCAAGGAGCTCCATTGGCTGCTCCGAGCCCAATTCAAGGTGCATGTGCTTACCTACAAAGCCCTAAACAGTTTGGGACCATCCTACCTGCGTGGCCGCATCTCCGTTTATGAACCCACGCGCTCGCTTCGTTCATCTGGAGAGGCCCTGCTCATGATTCTGCCTGCGTCGCAGGTGCGTCTGGTGGGGACGCGAGACAGGGCCTTTTCTGTGGTGGCTCCCCGACTCTGGAACTCCCTCCCCAAAGATATTAGACAGGCCCCTACGTTGGCAGTCTTTAGGAAGAACTTGAAGACCTGGCTGTTCCGATGTGCCTTTCCAGAATAGGAAACTCCAACAACAAGTCCCAGAAGCACTTTAGTAGAAATTAAGATTGCTGAAATCTGATATACCACCTGTCACATCAGCACTTTTAATCTGTACCCATTACTTTGGCCCGGCCCCAGTTTTTATTGTGTTTGGTGTATTGTTTTATTGTTTTGTTATTTTAATATTGCTTTAATTGTTTTTGATTTGCTTTAAGTTGTGTATTGTTTATGCTATGTTTGAGGCCTTGGCCTTTGTAAGCCGCATCGAGTCCTTCAGGAGATGCTAGCGGGGTACAAATAAAGTTAATAATAATAATAATAATAATTTGTTTCTGTAGCATAATTTCAAATGTGGATTTTGAAAACAAATTACAAAATGCATAATTTTGTCCCCCAAACCAGCTCCTGACGTATACATGAAGCTAGACTTATACATGGGTCTTAGGGTTGGGCGGTTTCGTTCGTTAATTTCGTAATTCGTTATTAATTCGTATTTAAATTAGCTTACGATCCGATATTGAGCCATGCAGGAGTAATTAAAAATCGAAACAATTTTTTCAATTTATTTCGTAATTGTTTCGTAATTGTTTCGAAATTATTTCCGTATGTCTGGTGCAAGTTTTAGGGTTGTTGTTTGTTTTATCAGTGATAAAAAATAAATTATCACACCAACAGTCAACAACAGAGGGAGAGGGAAGCTTCAGAAGTCCCCCCTGTCCCATTTGGAGGGTTTTTTAGCATATTGCGCAATCGCGTCCGCCATTAACGAATCGATTCGTAATTGTTTCGAAATCGTTTCGTAATTGTTTCGTAATTTTATGAAATTTCGTATATTTCGAACTTTTTTAAAGGAAAATTTCGGAATTCTTTTAAAAAACGAAACGCAAAACCCCCCTAAAAACGAATCGAGTTTAGAAACAATTTTTTCCGTGGTTACCCAGCCCTAATGGGTCTACAAGGGAAATAATTCATTCTTCCACCATTTTGCCGCATCCCAATTGAAGTCTTCAAATACAGCCTTGGGGGTCCATATGGGATTCCAGGACCACCCTAACAGTTGGACCCAAATCTTGAAAATGGAGAGCGGGGAATGAACAACCTAAGAGACTTGTTGCAAAATCTAGATGTGAAGAAGGAGTTAATTTTAAAAAGCCTCCTCCTCGTGTTCACGGCAGGGTTAAATTTCAGTTGGGTTTTCCTCCAGGAAAGGGGAAGAGGCGGGAGGAAAAGCAACCAGAGAAGGAGGTTTTTCTTCTTTCCGACCGAAAGCTCTCCGTGTTCTCAGCTTTGGGTGAGCGAGCAGGGGGTTAAATGTAATACACGGCGGACATGTAGTAGTTAATGGAGCGAGACCAAGCAGGCCTCCATTTGTATTGGTTCTTTGTATGCAGCAGTGATCTAGACTCTCTAAACGTTTGTTCTCGGCGGAGGGGAAGGGAAGAGAAGCCTCCCCCTTGCCAGACACACATGTACACAAGCATTTCCTTCCCCGGAGGGATTTACAGTCGAGCGAAAAAGAGCAGAAGGGCGGCCCATTTCTTCCCTTTGTCTCCCAAAGCGGTCTTCACTGTCGGGCGGCATGCTTTGTGTGGCACGATGCCACACTGACCCCGCCACCTGCTCCCGGTTAGACCAAGAACGCATGATGTTGGGGATTTTCATGCCCAGAGGGAGTGAGAGAGCGAAACAGGGAATGGATAGCTCTCTCGTGATGGAAGGGTTTCTGCGTTGGCGCCGTGGCCCTTTCCCTTGTGCGAAAACGGTGGCATGCGGCGCATCCGGAGCCTGTGCCGTTCGGGTTCCTGTTTCCGATCCGGAGACATATTGCGGATGCACCGGAGGGGCCTTCCGTGGCGAGGCGAGGCGGAGGCATTTTCCATGTGGCGGTGGGCACACTAAGAGAACAAACCGAGTAAGAGAGAAAGATTGCGTGTGTGTGTGTGAGAAAAAGAGCGAGAACGAGAGAGGAAAGGAAAGAAAGGAAAGGGGACAAAACGAGAGAGAACGTGTGGCAGAATTTATATAACTATGAAACAGTCTTTCTTATTGGATGCCTGCCCAGATTTCGTTTTGCTGCTGCAACAGTCCATGCGATTGGCTGCTTCTTCCTACCATGCGCAGCTTTGCCGTGTAGGGAAATGCCCTTCTCTCTCTTTCTCTTACTCTCGCTTGCTTTAAATTTTTGTTTCAATAATAATAATAATAATAATAGTCAGGCAATGGCTGACTTAACCATAGCTGCCTGTCGGTATCTGGAGGTTTGCTGATAAATTGAATTATCCTTCCTTTTTTTTGCTTCCACGGAGAGTTGAGAAGAGGTTGAAGGGTGGGGTTTTTCGGTTTTTTTTCTTTTGCCTTGGTACTATTTTACTTTTTTGGCTTGGTTTTTGCTGATACTATTCTTTTCTCTTTTGCAGGTTGCTGAAAAGTGCCTTTCTTGAAGCTCTCGCGACCGCCGCTGCCGCTTGGATTTCTGTCTAAGGCTTTGCCTCGCTCACTTTTAATATATATATATATATATACATATATACATACACACACACACAGATACACACACACAAACACATTTACCCCTCTTTTCTATATTTTTGGGTGTTTTTTTTGTTTGTAAAGACAAAGTTTGGTGTTGCGATTCATCGCCTGAAGGCAACTCATCCATCTTTTTCGTTCCTTCTGTTTTTCGCTCGCAAATTTGTTCGGCTGCCCAACTATGTAGCAAACTCAAAAAGGAAAATCAATCACAACAGGCAACACAAAAGGAAGTTGTCACGTCTCTTACGTCGGTTTTAATACTTGCAACTTCATCTGGATTTTAATTTTTGAATAAAAAGGAAAAGAATTGTCTTGGAAAATATTTTTCTGCGCTGAAAAACTGAAACCATACAGTTCAATAATTACACCTAGATTTATTTTTATTTTTCCCGTTTCTTTTTTTCCTTTTTTTTTGGGGTGGGAAAATAATTGAAATTCAATAACCGGAGAGCACAGGATCCAAGAAACAGGAAGAGAAGAGAATCGTCTTCAAAAATCATTTTCTGCGCTGAAAAACCGAAAACATACAATTCGATTGGCATCCTTGACAAGTACACCTAGATTTATTTTTCCTTTTTCCGTTTCTTTCCCTTTCCTTATTTTTGTGGGAGAATAATTGAAATCCAATAACTTGAGCACAGGATCCTTTTTTGGGGAGAAGGGAAGGATTCCTTTTTAAAAATCTGCGAGTTATTTTGAGACAATAACTTTGGCAGTGGCACAAAAAAAACTATATATATAGATATAGATATACATAGACACACACATATATAAATATATAACATTTCTATTTTGACTTTGGCAATTGCACTTTTCGGAGCTGGCCTCTAATTTGATTTTTTCTTTAATTCTGATGAGATTTCTATTTTACGATTGGCTTTACGTTTGATCCTTGTTTTCAACCAACACAAATTGAATTCAATGGAAACCTAAGTGCTGACAAATAGAAATTTTACCAAAGCAACAAGTTAGTGATTTCTTCATGTTTTTTTAACTTGAATCCCCCCCCATTTTTAAACACCTTTCTCCCCTGCTTTCCAAAAGCAGCAGTACAATCCTTCCAAAGAAAGGTACTGTGTCGCCAACGTTTTCTTTCTTTCTTTCCTTCGTTTTTTTTTTAATTCCTTCCTTTTGGGAAGGAAGGGATCTTGTCGTCGTCGTTTTAATATGGCCATGAACGTTTCTTTGGTCCGCGATACGAAATGGCTGACGTTAGAAGTGTGTCGGGAATTTCAGAGAGGAACTTGCTCCCGATCCGACACCGAGTGCAAATTTGCCCATCCTTCCCGGAGTTGCCACGTGGAAAACGGACGGGTTATCGCCTGCTTTGACTCCCTAAAGGTAAGGATTTATTGTCAACTAACCGTCCCCTGCCACACGTTGCTGTGGCCCACATGGGGGTTCTGTGTGGGAGGTTTGGCCCAATTCTATCGTTGGTGGGGTTCAGAATGCTCTGTGATTGTAGGTGAACTATAAATCCCAGCAACTACAACTACCAAATGTCAAGATTCTATTTTCCCCAAACTCCACCAGTGTTCACATTTGGGCATATTGAGTATTCATGTAGAGTTTGGTCCAGATCCATTATTGTTTGAGTCCACAGTGATCTCTGGATGTAGGTGAACTACAACTCCAAAACCAAAGGACACTGCCCACCAAACCCTTCCAGTATTTTCTGTTGGTCATGGGAGAACTGTGTGCCAAGTTTGGTTCAATTCCACCATTGGTGGGGTTCAGAATGCTCTGTGATCGTAGGTGAACTATAAATCCCAGCAACTACAACTCCCAAGTGTCAAGATTCTATTTTCCCCAAACTCCACCAGTGTTCACATTTGGGCATATTGAGTATTCGTGGAGTTTGGTCCAGATCCATTATTGTTTGAGTCCACAGTGCTCTCTGGATGTAAGTGAACTACAACTCCAAAACCAAAGGACACTGCCCACCAAACCCTTCCAGTATTTTCTGTTGGTCATGGGAAAACTGTGTGCCAAGTTTGGTTCAATTCCATCGTTGGTGGGGTTCAGAATGCTCTTTGATTGTAGGTGAACTATAAATCCCAGCAACTACAACTCCCAAATGACAAAATCAATTTTTTGGAGTGGAGAACATACATTGGGTTGTTAGGTGTATTGTGCCCAAATTTGGTGCCAATTCATCCAGGGGTTTTTGAGTTCTGCAGATACCACAAATGAACATTACATTTTTATTTATATAGACTACCGACTATACCAGGCATGAGCAAGCTTAAGCAGCTGAGCGGGGAAAGGAAGGAGCTTGAGACTGTTAGGAATTATGGGAGTTGAAGTCCAAAACATCTGGAGGACCAAAGTGTGTCCATGCCTGATGTATATACCTATACTGTTGAATTAGGCAATCTCTTGTTTTGGTTGAGGGCCAAAATTATGGATTTAGACATAATTCGTGGAAAAGTTGATCAATTACAGTATAGTACAACCTGGCAGTACTTAAGGGCCAAAATTATAATTTGCTAAATATTTTGGGAACTCCTCCTCCCCATCCCTCTGTGCTCAGTATTGATTGGTTGCAATGCATGTGATCACCAGTATATCCGTCCCCGTCCAAACCATCATAGGATAAGGAGGCGTGGTCTGAAACTTTCTGCTCTCTTCTATTGAATGGATTGGATGGCAACCAGTGAGTGTGGAGCCGAAGTGGTGCAATGGGTTAAACCAATAGGTTCTTGTGGGTTTTTTCGGGCTATAGGGCCATGTTCCAGAGGCATTTCTCCTGACGTTTCGCCTGCATCTATGGCAAGCATCCTCAGAGGTAGTGAGGTCTGTTGGAATTAGGACAATGGGTTTATATATCTGTGGAATGGCTGGGGTGGGGCAAGGAGCTCTTCTCTGCTGGAGCCAGGTGTGAATGTTTCAACTGACCACCTTCATTAGCATTTGAAGGCCTGGCTGAGCCTGGGAAAATCTTTTGTTGAGAGGTGTTAAGATGTGCCTGGTTGTTTCCTCTCTGCTGTTTTGCTGTTGTAATTTTAGAGTTTTTTTTAATACTGGTAGCCAGATTTTGTTCATTTTCATGGTCTCTTCCTTTCTGTTGAAATTGTCCACATGCTTGTGGATTTCAATGGCTTCTCTGTGTAGTCTGACATGGTGGTTGTGGTCCAGCATTTCTGTGTTCTCAAATAATATGCTGTGTCCAGGCTGGTTCATCAGGTGCTCTGCTATGGCTGACTTCTCTGGTTGAAGTAGTCTGCAGTGCCTTTCATGTTCCTTGATGCGTGTCTGGGCGCTGCGTTTGGTGGTCCCTATGTAGACTTGTCCACAGCTGCATGGTATACGGTAGACTCCTGCAGAGGTGAGAGGATCCCTCTTGTACTTTGCTGAACGTAGCATTTGTTGGTTTTTCTTGGTGGGTTTGTAGATTGTTTGTATGTTGTGTTTCCTCATCAGCTTCCCTATGCGGTCAGTGGTTCCCTTGATGTATGGCAGGAACACTTTTCCTCTGGGTGGATCTTCATCTTTACTCTTGTGGCTTGTTCTAGGTCTTGCAGCTCTTCTGATGTCTGAGGTGGAGTATCCATTGGCCTGGAGAGCCCAGTTTAGGTGGTTCAGTTCATCTTGGAGGAGGTGGGCTTCGCAGATTCTTTTTGCACGGTCTGCCAAGGCTTTAATGGTGCTTCTTTTTTGACTTGGGTGATGGTTGGAGTTTTTATGTAGATATCTATCTGTGTGTGTGGGTTTTCTGTAGACGGTGTGATTCAATTGTTGATCTGGTTTGCGGATAACTAGGACATCTAGAAAAGGCAGTCTTCCTTCCAAAACAGCAGAGAGGAAACAACCAGGCACATCTTAGCACCTCTCAACAAAAGATTTTCCCAGGCTCAGCCAGGCCTTCAGATGCATCCTCAGAGGCATCCTCAGAGGTTGTGAGATTTGTTGGAAACTAGGAATGTGCAGGTACAACTGTACCAGAAGCTCCCACTTTATTTGCTTTGTATTAAGTGCTTGCTTGCAGCCCAAGGCTTGGGATTTTGCAGAAGGGTGGCTTCCTGTTAAAGTTTGCAGTTATAGGGCAGGCCGCCCCTTTTTGGGTTTTCAGAAGAGAAGGGAGCCATTTTTAGTCAGTCACACACAAGGAAGCTAGTCTATAGGACGCAGACAGCTCGTCCCGTAGGAAAAGCTTCATTCTTCAGAACCATCCGGAGACCATCCGGTAACCATCCGGGGACCATCCAGGGAAATAGGAACAAAGGGAAAAGATCCCAAAGGCTTTGTCTGAGAGCTCACAGCCTCTCAGCCTCACAGCACCAGAGGGGAAAACAGCCCTGAAGTTCCCACAGGACAGCGTTACAGAACCACTGAATTCCAGATGAAGTATCTTCAAGCCTTGGCTGGTAGGTTTACTCGATGTCCAGAAGCAGTTGGGATCGGTAGTAAGACCCAAACCAGCAAGGCCCAGATAATAGACAGCCTGGGAGAGATTATAAAGCAGTGGTTCTCAACCTTGCTAATGCCGTTCCATATGTTGTGGTGACCCCCAACCATAATATTGTTTTCGTTGCTACTTGATACCTGTCATTTTAGTACGGTTATAAATCGTATAGTAAATATCCGATATGCAGGATATATTTTCATTCACTGGATTAAATTGAGCACAAATACCCAATATGCCCAAATGTGAATGCTAGTGGGGTTGGGGAGCATTGATTTTGTAATTTGGGAGTTGTAGTTGCTGGGATTTATAATTCACCTATAATCAAAAAGCATTCCGAACTCCACCAGCGATGGATTTAAAC